GGTACGTCTTGTTTTAAATTATTGTTTCGTGTCTGCTGTCAGGCGGTGTAGAACTTTACTGCGTTGGTCTGGTTCTGCATGTCTACTCTTATTAGACCCTCCAGAAAAACGCGATCCTGCGATCGCAGAATTTACCGCATAATCAGCAAAATGGCGCAGATTTTTAAAAGGCCGCATATTTATCAAAAGGCCGCATAATCCCCGCACTTTTCAACACAAAGTTGAGGGAAAAAAAAGTTAACTCGTGAAGTAGTGATGATGATGGCGTGATGTCATCAGCTCGCGCATCACAGAAGGTAAACAACACCGTAGAGTGAACGTGTGGAACTCACACAAGAGAGAAAACACCAAGATGAAAAAATCTAATCCATCTCATTTACCGACGAACATTTCTGCTAAAGACCGGGCAAAGCAGTACCCCGATGTCTTTCACAAAAGTGGGGGGAAACTATTTTGAGTACACATGTTTTTAATGTGTGCAACCGGTTTCCATATTAAAATCATGTTAATCCAACGGCCTTTTTTTTTCAGTGCAGGAGCTCCAACAAGCCGTTTAGGACAGAGAGTGTACACACATACTTTACAGACATGCTGTATGAGAAACCAATGTGAGTTTGGAAAATTGCACAATATAAATCTATTTTAGTATACCTCAACAATGGAATTATGATCAGTAGAAATGGCCATGACATGGGACCTTTAACATTACCTAACAGTTGAGTAAACGGGCCCCAAACCTTATCATAGGTTACATTTTTCCTTTTCAGAAATGAGGTTAAATCGTTAACATAGGTTCAGGAGCATGGCCACGCCTAAAACTCCGCCTCGAACCACGGCCACCCCTATTTATATCCAGCAAAACTTCCGGCCACTTAATGCGTGTAAAGATTAATTTGCTTTTACTGCCAACTATACTTGCTTACCCATATGCTTGATACAGTATTGTCACGAACGAGCTGAGAACCAAAGTACAACACACAGGAGACCAGGGAAAGTCAGTAACCGACTTTATTATTTGAAGTTATTGATGAATAGTTCTGGAACAAGTCAGATAAGGCAGACTGACCAACCGGCAGACAGCAGGTCGGGCCAGCCAGGGTTCCAGGAGGAGGCGAATTAGGAAGTAACGCAGGAAAGACTAGCATGTTGCATTACATTTCCAGAATAAGCAAACAGCATTAGCTGATTCTGATGTTATAATAAGTACAACAACAATATATTTCAACATGTTTCTTTATTGTCGATATATAAGTTCACAGATGCAACAAACTAGATTTTAGGCTTAAGTTAAATAAATAGTCAGAATCATTCTAAAGTTTGATATGTGAGGGTATTGCACTTATCAGGATATTTGCAGTTTGATTCCCGGTTCGCATGCCGCAGTGTGCATAGGTCAGGATCTGTCTAGGTCGTCTTCATACGAGCCCTCCATCGTCGCTTCCAGTCATCCCGGTTCTCCATACATCTGGCCACTTCATTGGTACTTTGTGCTCCTGCGTCATTCTTGAGTACGTCCACGTATGTTAGTGTAGGACTAACAATGAAATAGTGGTTCAGCAAAGATCAGGATACTGAACCACCATTTCTCCTGATTGCATCGCCGTGGCTGTGGGAATACATGTATTTTATCCAATTATACTATATGATCAACAGTTTATAATCAGATAAAAAATAGCTAGAGAGATTTCTGGCATTAAAGCACATACAGACAACTTTGTGATTATATCTTTCCATTGTACACGTCTGGAAAAATTGACTTCATTCTGTGGTGCTGGATGGTGACATTTTTTACATATTTTTTGTCCTTAACATCTTCATGTTAAGAGATTAAGCATACAGCCAATACTATTAGGATCATTTTTGCTTGCGAAAAATAAAGTACAATATTTGATAAACCCTTTAACGATCATGAAATAGGGTGTGGAAATACATGCAGACATGTGCATGTAGAGCCTTTGAAGCAGATGTCACGTTTGTCTTCATGCCCATCAGAAGTCCTTTTTATATTAGAGCAAGCATCACACTGGGCATGTTTGGAAGCCCTTGTACTGTATTTGGAATAACTGCTAACAAAAATAATATGCTGTCTATGAAATTATACTTGTGCCACGTTAAAAATGTCTACATAAGACACAAAATATAATGCCAAGATGTGTTTTGAGCAGGTGAGAAGGGGAAAGGATTGGAACCATGGAGCAGATGCAGATGATGCTCAGGGACCTGGGTGGATCCAGATCTACTTGGTATGATCCTGTACCCAGTGACAGAGCCTGACACAGTACGCCTGTGGACTTACGGTGGAGAAGGACCGGCCTGGGTGTCTCAGCCTCTTCCACCAATGCTCAAGCCTCTTCCTGAAGCTGTAAACTGTGAAAATATCAATGATTCCGATGAAGTAGCGCTGCTCAGGCCCATCGATGACATGCAGGGGATTCTTTAGATTGGGTAGTAAACGTCGGTTTTGGGCTTTGAAGTCTGGGAGCTCAGCTGTGTCACTTCCTGGCCCTGCATGCTCTGGGCAGGTTTGGAGAGATGCAACTCCCACTTGAGACTGCCTAAAATAGTTGACGTCACTTTCAGACAAGAGTAAGGTGGAGCCGTCTTCTGGGACTTCCCCGGGAACCGCAGATATGCCTGGGTGGATGGGACTGGAGCCTGGATTCACAGATCTTGAAGAAAAAGTCAAAAGGGGGGAGAGGGGTATGAGTCAAAGCAATAACCATGTTTATCCTCACTCCAAATGTATTCATGTAGGACAAAACTCTGATATGTCTAGGCAAGCAGATGTCAAAGTTTGAAATGTTTATTCACCACAGCATATCATTTGAGTTTGGCCTCTGGGCTCCGGTGTCATCACTCCCTGCAATTATCTTTTACGTAAAAAATGATGGAGGAGTGATAGGCACATGTATATGTATCATTTGTGCTCAACATGACTGCCTGGACTAGCTCGCAGTTTTTATTTTTGCTCCATTGGTATAGTAGTAGTACTGTATCTGTTTAGGTTTTGAAAATCAACCCTAGGACGGGTATTTAAAGTAAACCATTTGCTTCTTTCTAACAATAACCTAAACAAACCATGCATTATTTGGCTATAGTGTATGACAATGCATATAATAATATGAGATACTTTGTATGTGCCAAATGATAATGATCTTCGGTGAGGGACAACAATGCTTTGAACGTAATGCTAATAGTATCAGGCCAAAATACCTACAAAGACAATGCTAACAAATTGATATGAAGCAGGTGTAAAGTTGACTATGTTCACCACCTTAGTTTGGGATGTTAGCGGGCAATTCTAATAAAGTTGGGACGTTGTGTAAAACGTAAATAAAAACAGAATACAATGATCTTCCTTGATCTCAGGAAGGCATTTGTCACAGTTGACCACCAAGTGCTCCTTACAAAGATTACTCATTTCAATTTTTCGGCAGTTTCGATAAATTGGTTAAATCTTACTTATCGAACAGAAAACAGTGTGTTTTGGTCAACGGTGCCAAATCCCCCTACCTTTTCAACCCTGTTGGGGTTCCACAAGGTTCCATTCTTGGACCGTTACTTTTTTCTGCATGCATGCTATTCAATGTTTATTGAATTCCATTTATTTACTGTCAGTTGACAATCATTGATAGGCACCTGTCGGTCTCCTGTCCTTTCTGAAAGTCATAAAGATGACAATACTCATTTAGATAACTTATGTCCTCAATTACCATGGGATTACTGAAACCACCATGAATTAAAGAAATGGTAGAAATGAATCTAATCAGAATTTTGAAACCTTCCTCCCCTCCCTCTAAATATATCAAACATTAGGAAGTGATGCTCCTGACTACCATACAGGTGTAAGAATTTGTTTTAAACAATTCAAAGCAATGAACAACAGCAACAGGCTCTTTAACCAAGGCAACGTTAGCCTAACATGTATATGTTAACAGGTAAGATAGCTGTTCACACTATGTATATTTTCTGCTATTTTATTTCTATTTGAGATGTTTACTTTTTCGATTGTTTAATTCTAGTCTTTTAACTGTCTAATTTACAATGCCTTGTCTTTTGCTGCTACAAAGCAAACATTTCCCAAATTGGTATCAATAAAGTACTTCTTATTTTATCTTAATCCTCAAATATTAGCACATTTAACTTTTTCAAATATTGATGTAACTACATACACATCGATATGGGGAACTATTGCGTCTCCCTGAACCACGTGACGATCAAGCATTTTGGACTTCCGTTGTCGTAACTCTTCTCTCTATATGGCGCTGAGTTGGAGGTGCGGTAAGTAAATGTTAGTTACATGTCTGAAGCTGATGACATGATTCATTATATGATGTCATATGACTACTAATGTATAGAGGCTGACTCAGTTTCTGCTCTTTCTTTTTTCTCCTGAGCTATGTTTGTAATGTTCCATGATCTTTCCAAAATGTCAAAATACTCGAAAGAATCATTTTGATTCCATTTTTAGAAATCACTTTGGTTTCGTTCTTAATGCGCCAACCGTGCAATAGAGAGTATGAGTGTGTGAATAGAGTTCTGAATGCGTGCAACGCAGCTGCATGAGTCACACTTGATGGGAATCAAACCAAAATAAATAAAATTTAAAGCAGCGAGGAGCAGGCCATAAGACCTTGTGCACTTAAGGGCCTCTAGCCCATTCTAATGCCACATTTCATCACTTCCACATACAGCATAAACATGTAAGTGAATTATTGTGAAGAAGAATCAGGCTTCTTATAATCTGTTATTTACTATATTTGTACACATCATCTGACATTAACTTGCATCATTGGTTGATGACCTAACATTCAAAAGTGTTCTAAGAGGCTGAAGAGTAAAATGTCAATCTGAGGCTGAGGCACATTGTCCGTGGCTATTTAAAACACTTGTGCAAACATCATTCGATAAGTTTCCATAACACAGAAGACTCTTCATTAAAGGCTTGTAACTGTGAGCAACAGCTTTGTTTGCTGAGGCCACAGTTCCTCTTATTCAAGTATAAGTGTGCAATGAAGCCACAGTAAAACCACACTCTCTCATTTAGGGAGTGTGTCTTGGCTGATTTTCTGTGAAAACTGAAATTCATTACTCACCCCCACATTTATGTTTTTACAACAAAGTATTCATGAGGGATTCTTAGACCGAGACCTCATGCAGTAGTCTGGAGCAGGCTGAGTATCGGGGGGTCTTTACCCATCATGACAGGTGTAAAGTAGCGAAAACCTATCACATTTAAAGTAGGAAAAAAAATTAATTACTGTTTTTAATGTTGAATTTATTATACTAAATTCATTTTGAAAATGGGTTTTCTTTTTGTTCGGGTGATGTTTGAGATTCTCGGTTAAAATGATGATGGTGCAGTTACACATTAGAAGGATTTTACACATATCCTCTGAAGGCAGAAGTGTTCCTGTGTTTAAATCTGTGTCTCACCACAGGATTTTGTGAAATTATAACTTATTTTGTAACTTGTGTTCAAACTCAAAACGTACATCAGCATGTACAGTCCCCTCCAAAACTATTGGAACAGCGAGGCCAACTGCTTTATTTTAGCTCTACACTGAAAACAATCAGAAGATGAATATGAGACAAAAGGTCAGTATTTCAGCTTTTAACTCCAGGTATTTCCATCTAGATCTGTTAAACAACTGAGAAGAAAGCACCTTTTGTTTAAACCC